AGACTTCAGCATGCCACCCATAGGACTCAGCACTGTCATAGACTCAGCACTGCACCCATAGACTCAGCACTGTCATAGACTCAGCACTGTCATAGACTCAGCACTGCACACCCATAGACTCAGCACGTCATAGACTCAGCACTGTCATAGATCAGCACGTCACCCAAGACTCATCACTGCCACCCATAGACTCAGCACTGTCACCCATAGACTCAGCACTGCCACCCATAGAGACAGCACTGCCACCCACCTAGACTCAACACTGCCACCCATAGACTCAGCACTGCCACCCATAGACTCAGCACTGTCACCCATAGACTCAGCACGCCACCCATAGACTCAGCACTGTCACCAATAGACTCAGCACGCCACCCATAGACTCAGCACTGCCCCCATAGACTCAGCACTGTCATAGACTCAGCACTGCCACCCATAGACTCAGCACTGTCATAGACTCAACACTGCCACCCATAGATCTGCCTGCACCCATGACTCAGCACTGTCACCATAGCACTCAACACTGCCACCCATAGACTCAGCACTGTCACCCTAGACTCAACACTGCCACCCATAGACTCAACACTGTCATAGACTCAACACTGCACCATAGACTCAACACTGTCACCCATAGACTCAGCACTGTCACCCATAGACTCAGCACTGACCCATAGACTCAGCACTGTATAGACTCAACACTGTCACCCATAGATCACACTGCCACCATAGACTCAGCATGTCATAACTCAGCACTGCCACCCATAGACTCAGCACTGTCATAGACTCAACACTGCCACCCATAGACTCAGCACTGCCACCCATAGACTCAGCACTGCCACCCATAGACTCAGCACTGTCATAGACTCAGCACTGCCACCCATAGACTCAGCACTGTCATAGACTCAACACTGTCATAGACTCAGCACTGTCACCCATAGACTCAGCACTGTCATAGACTCAACACTGCCACCCATAGACTCAGCACTGCCACCCATAGACTCAGCACTGCCACCCATAGACTCAGCACTGCCACCCATAGACTCAGCACTGTCATAGACTCAACACTGTCATAGACTCAGCACTGTCACCCATAGACTCAGCACTGTCATAGACTCAACACTGCCACCCATAGACTCAGCACTGCCACCCATAGACTCAACACTGCCACCCATAGACTCAGCACTGCCACCCATAGACTCAGCACTGCCACCCATAGACTCAGCACTGCCACCCATAGACTCAGCACTGTCATAGACTCAGCACTGCCACCCATAGACTCAGCACTGTCATAGACTCAACACTGTGGTCCTGACTGGTGGTGGTGGTGGTGATGGATCGGCTTCGCTGAGTCTGCGCATCATCAGCAGCACCGAGGGGTAGTGGTGGTGGTGGTGATGGATCGGCTTCGCTGAGTCTGCGCATCATCAGCAGCACCGAGGGGTAGTGGTGGTGGTGGTGATGGATCGGCTTCGCTGAGTCTGCGCATCATCAGCAGCACCGAGGGGTAGTGGTGGTGGTGGTGATGGATCGGCTTCGCTGAGTCTGCGCATCATCAGCAGCACCGAGGGGGTAGTGGTGGTGGTGGTGATGGATCGGCTTCGCTGAGTCTGTGCGTCATCAGCAGCACCGAGGGGTAGTGGTGGTGGTGGTGATGGATCGGCTTCGCTGAGTCTGTGAGTCATCAGTAGCACCGAGGGGTAGTGGTGGTGGTGGTGATGGATCGGCTTCGCTGAGTCTGTGTGTCATCAGCAGCACCGAGGGGTAGTGGTGGTGGTGGTGATGGATCGGCTTCGCTGAGTCTGTGCGTCATCAGCAGCACCGAGGGGTAGTGGTGGTGGTGGTGATGGATCGGCTTCGCTGAGTCTGTGCGTCATCAGCAGCACCGAGGGGTAGTGGTGGTGGTGGTGATGGATCGGCTTCGCTGAGTCTGTGCGTCATCAGCAGCACCGAGGGGTAGTGGAGGTGGTGGTGATGGATCGGCTTCGCTGAGTCTGTGCGTCATCAGCAGCTCCGTGGGTAGTGGTGGTGGTGGTGGTGGATCGGCTTCGCTGAGTCTGTGTGTCATCAGTAGCACCGAGAGGTAGTGGTGGTGGTGGTGTTGGATCGGCTTCGCTGAGTCTGTGCGTCATCAGTAGCACCGAGGGTAGTGGTGGTGGTGGTGATGGATCGGCTTCGCTGAGTCTGTGCGTCATCAGCAGCACCGAGGGGTAGTGGAGGTGGTGGTGATGGATCGGCTTCGCTGAGTCTGTGCGTCATCAGCAGCTCCGTGGGTAGTGGTGGTGGTGGTGGTGGATCGGCTTCGCTGAGTCTGTGTGTCATCAGTAGCACCGAGAGGTAGTGGTGGTGGTGGTGTTGGATCGGCTTCGCTGAGTCTGTGCGTCATCAGTAGCACCGAGGGGTAGTGGTGGTGGTGGTGATGGATCGGCTTCGCTGAGTCCTGCGCTGTCATCAGCAGCACCGAGGGGTAGTGGTGGTGGTGGTGGTGATGGATCGGCTTCGCTGAGTCTGTGCGTCATCAGCAGCACCGAGGGGTAGTGGAGGTGGTGGTGATGGATCGGCTTCGCTGAGTCTGTGCGTCATCAGCAGCTCCGTGGGTAGTGGTGGTGGTGGTGGTGGATCGGCTTCGCTGAGTCTGTGTGTCATCAGTAGCACCGAGAGGTAGTGGTGGTGGTGGTGTTGGATCGGCTTCGCTGAGTCTGTGCGTCATCAGTAGCACCGAGGGGTAGTGGTGGTGGTGGTGATGGATCGGCTTCGCTGAGTCTGTGCGTCATCAGCAGCACCGAGGGGTAGTGGAGGTGGTGGTGATGGATCGGCTTCGCTGAGTCTGTGCGTCATCAGCAGCTCCGTGGGTAGTGGTGGTGGTGGTGGTGGATCGGCTTCGCTGAGTCTGTGCGTCATCAGCAGCACCGAGGGGTAGTGGAGGTGGTGGTGATGGATCGGCTTCGCTGAGTCTGTGCGTCATCAGCAGCTCCGTGGGTAGTGGTGGTGGTGGTGGTGGATCGGCTTCGCTGAGTCTGTGTGTCATCAGTAGCACCGAGAGGTAGTGGTGGTGGTGGTGATAGAGCGGCTTCGCTGAGTCTGGTGTGTCATCAGTAGCACCGAGAGGTAGTGGTGGTGGTGGTGGTGGATCGGCTTCGCTGAGTCTGT